AGATGGGAGGCAGCTTTAAAAATGCCCACTCAAGTTCTCCCTCCTAAAAAAAATCGTACAAACAAAGAAACAAAAAACCCGAACCAAGAAAGCTCATAAACACTGGTTTTGAATGGAATCTACGAGCATTCATCCATCACTACTACTAAATATTCATAAGGAATTTCCTATTATTTACTCAATTAAATGCACATACATTTCCCCTAAGGCTGCCAAATAATGCAACTCACTCACCGCCTCTAATCTTATTCCACGGTAGACATCCCAAAACATGGCCCTTTTCTCAATAGCTTCTGTCTCTTTCTTCACTGCCACCTCACATTTCCTTGTCAATACCCACATTTTGATCCTTTTGCCTCATAACTCTTGGGTTTCTCAAACAGAGGAAACTCCATCAACAAATTGGTGGCATGTTAATTTTTGCTTGACACACAGGATGCCGGCTTGATACAGCAGTTGAAACGTGAAGTTCTGTATTTAACTTTCTTTCAGAAGAAAATCAAGATCTACCCAAAACTAGTCAGGAATTTCACCCACAGTTCTTACTGATCTCTCGTCAGCTATCAAAACTAACGTTATGCACATAAGCAATAATTAAGTGGATGCTTTATACGCCGCAATATATAAAGCAAATGAGAAGTGTCACATCAAAGGGGGAAGGATTGAGATGAGATTGTTGTGGAAATGCTTGATGTGTCGTACTCCCTCCTTTTCCACAGCTCTTGTTTCAGTCTTGTGTTTGTCAAGATGATGGTTTTGATGTTTTCCTAGCCTTTTCTCTAGTGCTGATTAATTTCCTTCTTCAAATGAAGAAATCAGTTGAGGTTTGTCCCTTTCTTCTGTATTATAAGTATACTCACACAAATTGTAGTCATCACAACTGTTCTGTTAGCATGAACTTCCTGCCTTCTCCCCTTAAAATACCAGCTCCTCCCATCTAAATCCTGACAAATTCCAGTTAACCCCCCCCCCCCAATCTAAATCCTAGAAAATTCCAGGTAAACTGGGAGTCAGGTATTCTGTATCTTCCTGGCTATACACAAAAGTTCTCTCTTATTTTTAGTTGAAAGACTGAGCCACGGTGATGCAATGGGTTAAATCCTTGTGCTAGCTGAACTGCTGACCTGAAGACTAGCAGTTTGAATCCACGGGTTGGGGTGAGCTCCTGTCTGTCAGCCCCAGCTTCCCATGCGGGGACATGAGACAAGCCTCACACAGGATGGTAACACACTCAGGCAACATCCTTGCAGACGGCCAATTCTCTCATACCAGAAGGAACTAGCAGCATAATCTCAAGTCGCTTCTAACACAATTTAAAAAAAAGTTGAAAGATTGTACTTTCAGACATCCAACAAAAAAATCCAAAATGTGCAGCAGGGCCAAAATGTATGTGGAAATACAAGAAGTGTGAAGGTTCATTCTATCACAATGGACATGGATTAAGGCTAAGAGGTACTGGTGATGCAAGATAGCCTTAAAATAAGGATACAATGGGAGCCAGATTTTTTTTTTGGGTGGAGGGGGGGGGGATTCCAATTGATATTTTAACAGTATGAAAGATTAATTATGAAAAAGACTGTATTTTCCTATACAAATCACCTCAAGTATTAAGTTGTCTGAGGAAGGGCTTTCTCTCAGTCCCACCACCTTTAGAGGTATGTTAGATCGGGACTTCTTAAACTTCTCCCACTCATGACCCCATTCTGACCAAGAAATGTTGAGATGTCCCCAGGTATATAAGTAGATAAAATAAGTATAAAAACCAAACATTTGCTGACAAGAAATCAGCATTTGCAAGGCTTGCTAAACAGCTGATTTTCCTTTTTGTGGAGTACACCTGAAGCACTTTCTGCAGAGTTCACTGTAAACACTGCACGTTGTTGCTAACAGATTTGTGTAAATGGGTGGCATTTCAGAAATCATGTTGTATTTCTGTGTATTGCACTCTGTTTTTACTCTTTGTAAGCTGCCCTGAGTCCTGTTTGGTGAGGAGGTGGGATATAAAGTTTTATTCATTTATTATTATTATTATTATTATTATTATTATTATTATTATTAATTATTATTGCCAATTTTTGGGACCGCAACATTGAGGACCCCATTTGGGATCAGGCCCAGTTTAAGAAGCAGCGTGTCAGACGGGAATACTTCTTTAAGAGTGCAGGCACAGCAGTTGCATGGCCTGTGATATTTGGCTTTCAGAGCTTGGTTGCTTGAGCATCTATGGACAGGAAGGGTCTTGTGTTTGAAGAGCATGATATTGGGAAGGACTCCAGGTCTGCACAAATTCACGCAGAAATACACTTACACAATAACCCATAAAATATTTCCAAATCATGTATGTTGATGGTGTACAAGATGGCACTATATCTGAATTAATAAGTAATAATGTATCCATTTATGTACGCTGTTCTCCCTTTTATTACATTACCTTAAAGCCACAATACAGAGGACTACTAAGTCGTTTTTTTCTCACGTGCGTCTTAGTTTTTTGTTTATATTATCTAAGTTCTTTCCCACAGTAACCGGAACAGGAAAGTACAATGAACAGTTTGTTCCAAATGATAAAAGAAATATTGGGGGAAACTCTTAGGAAATTAAAATAATCTTTTTAATTAGTTTTATCTGTAGCTATTGCTGAAAGCTTTCCATTTTTATAGTAACAGCCTTATATGTCGAATAGGAACACTTTGGAGTGCAACCAATATCTTTTCCACAATGAGTATGTTGTAGACTATTGAGTCTACCCTGTAATTATACATTTTTCTGCAGACAAAAGAGAAATTTGTATGAAGTGTCCAAGCTATTCAAGAGACCCAACATTTGAGAAACTGTTCTGGAGCAAGCATCTTCTGAATCTATTTAAACAAAAACATACCAAAGTCACATCACTACTGTCGTCAAAGGCTAATTATATAACTGTGCTATTTATTTTATTGGTAAAGATATATGTAAACATGTTTGACTAATACCTATACTTATACTGTAAAAAAAATCATATTGTTCCACCACTTTTACTGTTATGTTTTTTTACTCTCTTATCCGTTAACAAGAATAAAAAATATTTTTTTAAAAAAAGAAATACTTATACTGACATTTGGAAAATTGGATCAGCTATTACTTTTGAATGAACAGAAATTCCGAAGTTTGATTAAACTGAAACAGCAGGTTTTAAAATGGCTCATTTACGCATTCTTAATGATCAAATAAACACAATTATAAACAATGATGAAAAGAAAACTGACACAATATACATAAAAATCTGAGCAATCATAACCAATAGGGCTGTGCAACCACAGAAAAATTTGTTTCTAAACTCAATTCGTTTTTAGGGGGTTTTTTGCGTTTCGTTATTTAAAAGAATTCCGAAATTTTTCTTTAAAAAACTTCGATATTTACGAAATTTCGAAACAATAACGAATCGATTCGTTAATGGCGAACGCGATTGCACAATACGCTAAAAAACCCTCCAAATGGGACAGGGGGAACTTCTGAAGCTTCCCTCTCCCTCTGTTGTTGACTGTTGGTGTGATAATTTATTTTTTTATCACTGATAAAACAACAACTATAAAACTTGCACCAGACATACGGAAATAATAACGAAATAATAACGAAACAATTTCGAAACAATTACAAAACAATTACGAAACAATTACGAAATAAATTTTAAAAATTCGTTTCGATTTTTAGTTGCTCCTGAATGGTTCAATATCGGATTGTAAACCACTTTAAATACGAATTATTAACGAATTACGAAATTAACGAACGAAACCGCACAGCCCTAATAACCAATTTAATTTCAATGATATAAAAAAGAAAAAATGGGATGAAATGCCAAAATTGCTGTTGTAAGGTGGGCACTCTTGAACTATATTTTTGTATGCTGCAGAACAGAAAATAAAGGGAATGCAAAAAAACTGAAAATTAAACTATGCCCAGTATAAACTAGGAGGAGTTGACAACTATTATCCTAAACTAACCTACTAGCAAGTAAATTCTACTGAAAATGGATCTGAGTAAACACCTTTTGGATTGTGCTACAGATAAAATGTATTTTGTTGAATTTAAGTTACATACTCTGTTCTAATTTTCAGCCCTTCTCTAAATGCAGTTCTTTCAATTCTACAAAGAGACAACAACAAAGACTTAATTTTCAAGGCAGAATAAGAGTAACAGCAATGAATCAATCTGCCTCAACCTAGTCGTAAAAGATTATGGTCAATTTTCCATATGCTTGAAGGACTGTTACTTTGACTGAGGCCGCAGTTTCATAATGCAGTTAAAATGCATTACATTGCATTATATGGAATGTAGACTCACATATGTATTTATTTATTTACAGCATTTATATATTGTCCTTCTCACCCCAAAGGGGACTCAGGGCAGATCACAGAACACATACATGGTAAACATTCAATGCTGTTAAAATACAGGACAGACAGCAGATAGAGGGTCACACTGGCATTTTCCCCAATTTCGGTGTCCTGGAGGTCATGCTCGATTCTGGCCACAGGGGGTGCTGTGACTCCATCCTCTATGACAAAGAGCCCCATATCACATACTTCCTCCCTCCTTTGATCGCTGGCATTTTCTGTTATTTCCTTTATGGTGCCGTAAAATACCGCCCTGGTTAAGAGGTTCCTAATTTCTCTACTCACAGCTGTTTTCGAACTGCTTAGGTGGACAGTAAGTTGGGCAGAAGGTCGGGTGCTCACCCCACCCCGGGCTTTGAACTGCCAATCTTTGATTGGTAACATCTAATGCTGCCGGTAATTAACTAGCTGTGCTAAAGCCCAGCCCTATAATAATGCACTTCAATACAGTTGTCTGCATTATATGGATGTATAGATGGGGCCATACTTTATCTTTGAGAGGATGTTTGCCAGCATAAACATTTGGGCTGAGTAGTAAGAAAACAGTGATTTCTCAGCCCAGGTCACCTGAATTCAAGACCAGTTGGTCCAATGTAACTGAAAAAAAGTAAACCAAACTCCATTTACCTTCCTTGAAGTCAGCATTCTTCTGCCGCACCAGCACTCTGAAATTTTCTACTGGATTAACACTTCCAACCTATAAAATAACATACCAACAGTTACACCCTCAGCCCCTCATTGCATTTTTTTCTTCCATATTTTTAAAAACAAAGCTGAAAAAATTGGGTTTTTGGTTCTCACCCATTTTGATTCAATCAAAGGAATTGTTTAGCATGTACATTAAACTGGAAAACACTGAGCCTCCGGTGGCGCAGTGGGTTAAACCCCTGTGTCGGCAGGACTGAAGACCGACAGGTCGCAGGTTCGAATCCGGGGAGAGGCGGATGAGCTCCCTCTATCAGCTCCAGCTCCTCATGTGGGGACATGAGAGAAGCCTCCACAAGGATGATAAAACATCAAATCATCTGGGCGTCCCCTGGGCAACGTCCTTGCAGACGGCCAATTCTCTCACAACAGGAGCGACCTGCAGTTTCTCAGGTCGCTCCTGACACGACAAAACAAACAAACAAAAACAAACTGGAAAACACTAATCAAAATTGGACCTGGGAGGAACAGCACAACAAGATAAACTTAAAAGATACTGTACTGTCCTTGTGTGATGTAATCATTTCTTTCAAAGACATAGACAAGGGAATTCAGGGACGGTGCTGCTTTTTTTTCTACTGTTGTGTGAAAAGCTTCTCAGCAGCACAGACTGCATTTGCATTCTGACAGATGCTTAATTGGAAGTCAAACCTCTTAGTCAAATGCGCAAAGAAGAGCTGAGCTGGCCTGGCCCTCCAGTGCAGTGCAGCATTTGTGAGAAAAAGCACACATTCCCGCTGACGTTTCAGGCCTTCTGAGCTTACTCAGGGATTCCAAAATGTGAGCTAGGAAGGAACAGGCAAGAAGGGAGCCCAGGCTACACAAAGTTTTGAACAAAAAAAACTAAGGAAAAGTCCAAGGCAATTGTTGTTTCAGTCACAAATTAAGTGTTCTGTTTGCTCTGCTCCTCCCTCCCATAAAATTATTTGCAAAGAATGATATTCAGTTAAGATTCCCTGTTGATGAAACAACTTCCATCAGCAGAATGTGAAGGTGGAACAATTTCCTCTTGCTCCTAGAATCATAGAGTTGGAAGAGACCTCATGCCATCCAGTCCAACCCCCTGCTAAGAAGCAGGAAAATCGCATTCAAAGCTCTCCTGGCCAATGGCCATCCAGCCATCTGAAGTAACTCAGCACCTAAATGCTAAGGTGCCTTCTGGATCAGATTATAGGGTTCGGGATATTAAGGAGGAAGAGAAGAAGATATACCGTATATCCTCGAGTATAAGCCGACCCGAATATAAGCCGAGGCACCTAATTTTACCACAAAAAACTGGGAAAATGGATTGTCTCAAGTATAAGCTACTGGTACATTTCAAAATATAAATAGATACCAATACAATTACATTAATTGAGGCATCGTAAGGTTAAATGTTTTTGAATATTTACATAAAACTGTAATTTAAGGTAAGACTGTCCAATTCTGATTAAACCATTATTCTCACCTTCTTCAAGGTAAATGTACTTATGTATCCTTCCAATAATAATAAAGAGAGTGAAATAATAAATGTAATAATAACAGTAATAACTAAAAAATAATAAATGTAATAACAACAATAATAAAGTAAAATAATAAATATAATAATAATAAAAGTAAAATGATAAATGTAATAATAATAACAACAACAATGACAACAACAACAGAATTCAATAATAAATAATCTTGACTCAAGTATAAGCCGATAAGGACTTTTTCAGCCAAAAAAAAGGTCTGAAAAACTAGGCTTATACTCGTGTATATATAGTAATTCTGTCACACAAGCAAACTCCCTCCTCATAGCAAGGACTCATAATAGGGTAGTATTGCTGTAGTGATGGAGCAGGTACATAGATTTGCAAAAACACAGTTTCGCGAATATCTATCATTCTATTATCTTTTCAAGTTCCAGGTTGAACTAGGAAATAATACTGCTAAAAATCACAGGGGATAGTACCAATCAGAGTTTACAATACTGGCCTAAGTGGATTACTGATTTAGCCTTCTATTTTGCAGTGGTGGCAAACACCAAAACTGCCACTATTGATAAAACTGAAACGTTTTAGTTCACAAAATACATTATTCTATGAGTAGACCATGGACAGTGGCTTAGTCAGATGAAGATTAACAAATCCCCACTCCCCTTCATGTGGATTATCTGATGATCTCATGAAATGTTACTTATTGTGCCACAGGAAGGTTATTTTAAAAACTGCCAGAGAGATGTGCTGATCAGGATCTTAATGCTTGATTTTCTCTCATTTCATCGAGGAGTCATGCCCCATCACAGTATCCAATCTCACCAATTCTTTAACAGCAGCCTTTGCAAGAAGTACTTACTGCAGTGACATTGCCCTCAGCAAGGTCTGCAATCCTGAAACCAACATCATCATCTTCTACTTTAACTTCTTGATTACCGGGCCCATCTTCAGTACTGGAAGTAGACAAGAGAAAAACTCGCAATCTGAAGAAATTATTTCAAACAACATGAATAGGGCAATTTATATGGGATAAACATATCCTGCCAGGAAAGTTTCAGAAGTTGCAGTTTTCTCAAGCAATAGTCGTTTATGCTCCCAAGAAGCTGGACTCTGTCTCAAGTTAGGAGGGAAAAAATCCTAAATAATAAGAAATCCAGTTCAATGCCAGAATGACGAGAAGTTCATTAGACTTATGGTAAAAACAGGAGGTTGTTTGGGTGTTGGTTTTTTTTTTTTTTGGGGGGGGGGGGAGTACCAGTGCTGGCAGAAAATAAAAATGAAAGCCTCAGCTATTATATGCTTAAGTGAGCCTGATCAACTCTCTTTTGACAATAGCTGACCATGGCCTGTACTGTTTGCTGGGTTGTAACATTTTAGTCATGCTAGAAATGCTGTAACTGCAGTATTATGTGCTGAGGGCAACAACCAGAAATTATGGTCCCAGACAGTGCCAGTCCCTGAGGACATCCTCTTAAATGACAACCAATCTCTGGACCCATTCTGTTGCTCTTGTGAAGTTTGTTGTTGTCAACATACTTCTGCGTACCTCTATAAAATGTTGATGCTTGAAATATCTATCTCAGCCAGTACTGTGAGTAGCTTTGGCTGAAAGCAGTGTTGTGGCCTGACAGATCCTTTGGCCAATTTTTTTGTTTGTTGTCTTTTTGTTGTTGTTGTTTGGTCAGTCTCAGGGCTCATTTTAGCTTTGTGTCCCACCTAAGATACTGTAGGGCTGATATTCCCATCCTACCCCAAACCAGAAAATCAACACCATCTCTGTAGTTTCCTAATGAGCCACATGGAGTATGTGCATATGTACAAGAATGCGTTCATAATATTATATATTCACATCAGGTTTCTTTTCAATTGGCATCAGAGATAATGGAAATTTAATGTTTAAGAAAGTAATCTATTTGCCCTTCTAATGCAATTTGCTGACTCCTGTCCTAAAACTGACAGCTTTTAAGTATGTGTGAACAAAGAAGACCTGCACATTTACTAACGCATCTCCTTGGTCAACAGACATAAGAGCTTGATAAACTTCAACGTGCAGCTGTCAGTACTCACTAAACAAACTTCAATTAAATGCAAGACAGCTCATTAGATAGCCTTAAACTACACCAGAAACTGTTTTCAAAAGACAAATGTCTAGTTTTTAACAAGATACAGTTGCAAGGCGATTGTCTAAATCTCCTCCTCACATCTCAACTTATCACAGAATGAGAAGTCCATTATGAATGAAGAGTGAGGTTTATTGTGGTTACCACAATAGCATAAATATTCCTTGCTATTAATCTGTTTTGATACTTTTCTGATTCATGTAAAAGGTAAAGATTTCCCCTTGACATTAAGTGTAGTCATGTCTGACTCTAGGGGGTGGTACTCATCTCCATTTCTAAGCCAATGAGCCGGCGTTGTCCATTGACACCTCCTAGGTCATGTGGCCAGCATGACTGCAGGGAGCATCGTTACCATCCTGCTGAACTGGTACCTATTGATGTACTCACTTTTGCATGTTTTCAAACAGCTAGGATGGCAGAAGCTGGAGCTAACAGAGGGGGTTCACCCCACTCCCCAGATTTGAACCACCGACCTTTTGGTCAGCAGATTCAGCAGCTCAGTGGTTCATGACAGCTACATAAAAAACCCTGCACTACTTATATACAAAGATCTTGTGTTCTTCCAGATTGATAACTTGTCTATTTCTCCCTCACTTTCTCAGGTTGCTTTTCACCCGTTCTTGCTATTTCCCATTTAAATGCACTTGTTTATGTAAGAATTAAAGGGAGTAGCAGTGGAGGGATGGCAGTGGGAGAGAAATGAATAGATGGGTTTTTCTCCTACCACTTCCGTTTCAACCTCACTGACATCCCGTCTTTCCTTTCCCTTCCCACTCTTAAATACCTCCTTTTATTTATTTATGTTTTAATGTTTAAAAACCTTGCTAGGGCTTTAGCACTAAGGTAGGCTCCAGAAGCACTAGAAGCAGGAACGACATAACTCACTTGTCTTTGAAGATATGCTGAGCTGTCTTCTGCTCTTTCATCTTGCCTGCATCCTTCAGTGGAAAAAGCGATTTCACTTTTTCAAGAGGAGCCTGGCATTTCTCTCTCACTTCCTGAGGTGCCTCCAACATGTCTAAGAGGTGTTTTTCAATAGGGGGCAAAGGGGCATCTGGATGGAAAGCCTTGTGCTGTAGGCACTGGTGAGAAAAGAGAAAAACATATTTCAAGTCAGTAATTTAGAGGCTGTAAGATGTAGATGAGTGTACACTTTAGAAAGTATTTGTTTCCAACATGCATTTCAAGAGTGTGGTCCCCGTGGGAGCCGCTGCAGAGCAGAAGTTTAAATGCTTCTTGGTATGAGAGGCAATATTCTGAGATTATATGAGTTTACAGGGAATGGTTACAGTGAAAAGGATCATATACTGCATGCGTTTGTAATGCTCAGTGACTTCAGCTTAAAAGTGGGGCTGATTACACCAAAACATTCAGGGGCCAGTATGGTAGATGGAATGTTAAAATTCAAGAATATTTTGATGATTTAATTTCAACAAATAACCCAATTTTACTTCAGTGTATAAAACTATGATAGTCCTCCAAAACCCAGAACCTGTATGATAAAATTTCTCAAGTCAAATTTGCATTTGTCTGCCAAAGCACACGGATTTCTCACAACGGTTTCTAGGATACAGTCCAAATGAAGCTATTGCCTCCCCAAGTGAGAATGTTATGTCCCTCTCCATGGAATTTTCCTTTGGCCCTTAAATTTCTCATAACAAAGAAATGAGACATTGAAAATCATTTACGTTATGTGTGCAGTCTCTTAGTAACTCTGCCTGCCTCTTTTCTCTAGATTTCTCAGCTCTGGCCAAAATCCCATTGAGGAGTTGCTTATAAGTGGACTTATGTCTGTTGAAAACAGAACTTAAAGATGTGAAACATTCATTTCCAGGAGAGGGCGGCTATTATGAAACTGTGTAGGAAAGCCAGGAAAGGGACCAATGCACAGTGGGATTGATGTGTTACAGTCCCCAATGAGCATCAGGTCCATGATGGACATCAAGCACTCCCAAGACACACTTGCTAATGCCCATTTATGCATCTTCACAATTCAAAAACTGGATTTATCACCTTTACTACTTAGTTAAATACCTACTCAATTTACGTTGAGTTAACCAGGATTCCAATCTTTATTTCTAAATCCTCAATTGAAGTTTTTGTTTACTACAATTCTAAAGAAATTGGGGATCAAAGGAAAATCCCTTAGGGTGGGGAGAATTTTTATTAAATACTCTCATTTTGCCACATACACAGCTACACTCCTGACAATAGCTCCCAAATCCCTTAGACAACATGATAATCAGGTTCTGGGAGTTACAGCAGGAAAAACCATAACATTTCCAGGCTTTGAGCCTTACCAGGTTGTGTTTGCCACAATGTTCTTTCTAGCAAAAGTATGAAGATGCTTTGAAAAAAGTCTGACAATGTTTAATGACAATGATGAAAAGACAACTGTTCTTACCTGATACAATCTTTGAAACTGAGGATTTGGAAATTTGCTGGTTTTAAATGTATCTTCAACTGTTTCTTCATTCTCATCTTCATAAACCAAACTCATGGAATCAATCAGAGAGTCAACTGCAAGCAACTGATCCTCTGGATCAGCGGAGACAAAACATTAACACACAATGAGGATGTATAGCAATGTTCTCTTTTCGTAAGCAGGTATCAGCCCCCCAAAACAATTTTGTTATTATTTTCACCAATAGCTAAATGAATACAAGGAGGGGTAATTAACTTTTGGCAAGAGAAATCATTTATAGCCATTCAGATGTAAGAGGGGGAAATATAAAGCAGATAAAGTCAGAGAAAAGAGAGAGGAGCTTCCTTCGCTTGTTCAATGTATTGGTAACTCAAACTTCTGAGTGTCTATACCCCTAGAGGATAGCAATTTTACTTTTCTCCTACTGATTTCTATGGGAAAGCCCAAAATGATTTTAATGATCAGCCAATTGGTCTTATCAAAACAGACAATATAAACATAACATACAGTATACATCTAGGAATTCTATGGGAGAAAAGAGGCACAATGCTTTATAATGATGTTAGACTATCCGAATGGAGCAGCCATTCTAAACAATTGAACCTATGACCTTCTAAAATTGATAAAGCTTCTCTTGCAGCAGCAAGCAACAGGTAATACCTGTTAATAATAGTAGCCAACAATGAAAGGACCAAGGCAGTGACATACTTGGCCCATCCAGTTTGGATATCAGCCAGCATGCCAATGCCGTAAATCAAGAAATAGTTTTCTAAGATCTACAGAGATACTCACAGGAACACCTCAGCAAGCGAGAGTCCAAAAGTGGCAGGCTAAAAACCCAAAACCTCAATCCATGGCTGATACCAAATGAGAGATGCCCTCCTGGGCACACAGAAGACTGGGCAACTTGGAAGGTGCTGAACAGGCTGTGCTCTGGCACCACGAGATGCAGAGCCAACCTTAAGAAATGGGGCCACAAAGTGGAGTCCACAACACGCGAGTGTGGAGAAGAGCAAACCACAGACCACCTGAGCCCTGCCACATGAACAATGAAGGACCTTCTTAGAGTAACACCAGAGGCACTTCAAGTGGCCAGTTACTGCTCAAAGGACACTTAGTATAATGCCAAGTTTTTAATCTTTGTGTTTTCTCAAATACATCACAAAAGTACAAAAGTGAGGAGAAAATATACACTGAGTATAGACATCAATGTGCAAACAGTAGACCAGTGACAGGAATCATAGAGCCCTCATCCATGGCAGTGCAGGCTCAGGCTGATGGAAAGTGCCATTCAAGAACATCCCAAGGCTCATATGATTCCCAGCCACGCACTTGATGCTCATAACAAAAACTCCGATTTAGCATCTGCAGTGCCCTTTGTTTGACATGCTATTTTCAAATACTATGTCTCAATTAGAATAGTCATGTACTATTTTTAAGCACAAAGGGTTTAACTGCAGCCAGAATCCACTCTTCAGAGTCATCATGATTCAGTTGCTAAGGACAACTGCCTGCTTGTCTTTTTTTAAACCTCAGGGTTTGTTTATTGCAACAACTCCATTAAGCACTTCATTCAACACTGTTTTGCCTCTATCCATCTGCCATCCAACAGTCATTCTGTCATGCAAAGGAACCACACATATTTGTGACTGGTTTTTCTTCTTTTCTGTCTCTCTCCTAATCACTTTTTCCATTTTATATGTGCTTTTTTACTGCAAGCTTCAGCACAAAAAAGTATTGTCTTTTTTTTAAAATGAGAGAAGTCCTTCAACCATTTGATAAGTTAATCCGTTCAATAAATTTAGAGCAAGAAACACCATCCATTTCCAGGTTTTTTTCCCTATGAATTTCCCTCCATTCACAGACTGCTGTGGATTTATAATATAGCACAAGAACACTTAAAATAATGTGCTCAAATGCTCCAGACTGACATCATGTGGATTACGGGGTGGTGTGACTGCAAAGGGAACTGTAAACATCCAGTTGGGACTGAAAACTATATTCCTCAATGTAAAATACTACTAAACAACAACAACATTTATATCCCACTCCATCTCCCCATAAGTACAACAAATAACCAAAATCAACAGAAATAACCAAATAACATAAATTACAAGATACTGGAGTTAACATAGAACACATCAATCAAAATGGAATAACAACAAAACACAACAATAGATTGCAATTAGAAGTAAACTATACAAACTAAGTTTAATGACTCAGCCACAAGATGGGTTAAAAATATCAGCAGGGTAGAACTTCATTTAGATCATCCATTATAGATGACACCTTAACTATTATCAAAGGCCTTCTTGAATAGCCATGTCTTGAAAAACCATGTATACTAAAGCAAGTAAACAAACCAAAACCTATGTTAAAGAGATACAAACAAAGTTTCTACCTGTTCTAACAAATGCATGCATGAATGCCTTCTACCACCTGGTATCTATCCTCCAGATGTAATGGACTAGAATAGCATCATTCCAAATCAATAGCGACAATGCCAGAAGGATTATGTGAGCTGTATCCCAACACCTGTGGAGGGCACCAGATTGGGGAAGCCGGTGTAATGCAACTAGACATGGGGGGAAAACAGGCTGCCACAGGACAAAAACATCTATGGAAGAGGTGGAGACCTTTTGTCTTCAAGATGTTTTAACTACAGCCCCCGTTGAGGCTGTAGTTCAAGGTGGGACTCATGGGAATTGTGGATTAAAGGTAGGACTGATGAGAATTGTGGACCAAATTACCCAGAGGGCCAAATGTACTCCATTCTGATATGCAGAATGCATTGTGTCACAAAATCACACAAAGTCAGCATCAAAGGAAAAGTAAAGAATTCCCTGCAATCACACTGAAGCCCTTTTCCTCTCACTCAAAAAGTGGGTTCCCATTCATGTCTTAAATGCAGTTATGAGACATGTCATCACCACAGTTTGAAAATACTGAACTATCCTGGTTAGCTTTAATCACAATCAAGGCCTGTGTCAAAGCTAGAAAGTGAAGTGAAAGCTGAAAGAGAAGGTTCGTTCCAGGGACTGATGGATTCATTAACATAAAGTTGCACTTCTAAAACCCACAACATCTGGCTGGACCTGAAACAACATCACAAGTAATAATTTCTGGCATTACAAAAGCTACATGTACTGTGCACAGTATTAAATTGGCAAGCCAGTACTAGTCTATGGGAAAGCAGCATCAAACTCTGTGGAAGTCACAACTGAGGAGACATGTATAGGGTCACTCTTGCTAAGGATCTGAATTAAAGTGAAATCTCACCTGTTGGTGCACATTTCTTATTATTCTTCAAGGAGGAAAACATGTATTGCCTCAAATCTTCCATATAAGGTAGCTGTACATATGCCAAGCACTAAAAAGTAAAAAGTGGATGAGCAGAGAAGTGTCAAGAAAGCTAAACTATAATGGGATTATTCCAAGTGAAGCATTTATAACAGAAGTACACTGTGTCATTCACTGTAAGTCATCCTTAATATGTAACATTTCAACATATTGTCAAAGGCTTTCATGGTCGGAATCACCGTGTTGTTGTGAGTTTTCCAGGCTGTATGGTCATGTTCCAGAAACATTCTCTCCTGACGTTTCACCTCCATCCATGGCAGACATCCTCAGAGGTTGTGACCTCACAACCTGAGAGGATGCCTGCCATAGATGCAGGCGAAATGTCAGGAGAGAATGCTTTTGGAACCTGCCATATAACCCAGAAAACACACAACAACCCAACATTTCAACGTTTTCCAATTGTTTTCGTCTTCCCTTGAGCCAGGTGTAAATGGGACCTTATTCTATAACTTGATCAGAAAATAGAAGCACAACCTCTGTGAGTTTTATGGAGAAAGGAGTTCTCTGCCTGGAAGCATCCACCATATTAAATAGCCAAACACAGTCTGGAATACACGTTCAGCAGAAATGTTTACAGAAGTCTTAAAATAAATATTCAGCATTGAAGCAGTACACACTGAGGGATGCTGAATTTATTGGTGAATGACCCACTGGCATGCAATTTTCTTGATTTCCTCTCTGCAAAATAAAATATGCTTCCTGTTTTAAAAGCCATTTTCATCTTACAGGGCTTCCACAGCTTTCTGTCAAGCTGTGGCCATCGGCAATCATCTGTTCTTGGCATTTATAGCCCTTTTACTTATCTCTATTCACATGTCTCCTGCAACTCATCTTAAGCAATTTATTTTTCTCTGGGACAGTTTACGTCTATCAAAAAAACCTTGAAAGCTTATGTCAACCCCCAAAACAACAAAGCTTGAGTTTTTGCTTAGCCAAAACAATGTTTATTGAACACTGTATCCCATATGTTGTTACTAAAAATGTGTACTGCAGAAATGGCACTGCCATCTGCAGACTTTCTCTGTGTACCATCATTGTTTTACTGTGTGAAATGCAGAATTTTGTTCTGTGAAAAACAGCAAAGATATACAGACTAAAAAATATGATGGATTTTAGGTGCAAAGACCGAACAATGTTAACACAAAATAGTCTAAAAACATGAACATCAATTGTAATTTTTTCAAAACCCTGCTGATGAGATGTAAAATACCTTGTTTACCTGTTTTACTTATGCTATTACTTATTTATGTATGATGGGATCTCAGGATGATGTATAACAAAATCACTTCAACATATATCAAGCAATCTATATAAATAAAAATGTAATGTTCGTTTGTGGGATTAGCATAACTCAAAAACCAGTGGGCCAATTGACACCAAATTTTGACAGCATACACCTAACAACCCAATGTATGTCCCTCACTCAAAAAAAATTGATTTTGTCATTTGGGAGTTGTATTTGCTGGGATTTATAGTTCATCTACAATCAAAGAGCATTCTGAACTCCACCAATTATGGCATTGAATCAAACGTGGCATACAGAACTCCCATGACCAACAGAAAACACTAGAAGGGTTTGGTGGGCATTGACCTTGAGTTTGGGAGTTATAGTTCACCTACATCCAGAGAGCACTGTGAACTCAAACAATGATGGATCTGGACCAAACTTGGCACAAATACTCAATATCTAAATTTAAATACTGGTGGGGTCGGAGGGAATTGATTTTGTTATTTGGGAGTTGTAGTTGCTGGCATTTATAGTTCACCTACAATCAAAGAGCATTCTGAACTCCACCAATGATACTAACCCAGGGAGTGACCATCACTCAAAAAAATTGATTTTGTCATTTGGGAGTTGTAGTTGCTGGGATTTATAGTTCACCTACAATCAAAGAGCATTCCGAACTCTACCAATGATGGAATTGAACCAATCTTGGCACACAGAACTCTAATGACAAACAGAGCATGCTGGAATGGTTTGGTGGGCATTCACCCAGAGTTTGGGAGTTATAGTTCACCTACATCCAGGTAGAGCACTGTGGACTCAAACAATGATGGATCTGGACCAAACTTGGCACGAATATTCCATATGCCCAAATATGAAGAGAGATGGAGTTTGGGAGAAATAGACCTTGACATTTGGGAGTTGTAGTTACTGGGATTTATAGTTCACCTACAATCAAAGAGCATTCTGAACTCCACCAATCACAGAACTGGGCCAAACTTCCCACACAGAATCCCCATGACCAACAGAAAATACTTAAGGCCATCCAGTCCAACTCCCTTCACCAGGGCAAGAAAATGTAATCAAAGCCCTCCTGATAAAGAGCCACCCAGCCATAGATATAGTTTCATATTATTCACACACATGCATAGTATCGTAGATTTGAAAGGGAACCCTAAAGAAGGACAATGACATGTTGCATGTTCCAGAGTAGGCAAACCAGACAATCTCCACATCAACACTGACAAGGAAACAAGAAATACTTTTAACCCACAAGCATCAATACGTTACATATATTAGAAACCAGCATTTTCTCATTACTTTATGTTCCAGCTCACAAGACTGGGCCACAGCAACACGTGGCAGGGGATAGCTAGTTTGAGCCAATAAAAATAATATAAACAGGCAAATATTGCCAGCATAATGTAGTGGTTTGAACATTTGACTACAACTCTGGAGAACAGGGTTCAAATCCACACTGGGTTATAGAAGCTCACTGAGTGACCTTGAAGAAAACACGACCTCAGCTTCAGAGCTAGGCAAAGAGAAACACCCCCTGAACAAATCTTGCCAAGAAAATCCTACAATAGCTTTTTCTTAGGATTGCCATAAATCAGAAATGTCTGGTGAAAACACACACCAACAAAACAATGGCATAATAAACAGTTTTACACTAGTTAAAATATGTTAAATCCATAACTAAATAGAATCAATTACACCCTAAAGCAGTGGATCTCAACCTGTGGGTCCCCAGGTGTTTTGGCCTACAACTCCCACAAATCCCAGCCAGTTTACCAACTGTTAGGATTTCTGAGAGATGGTCAAAACATCTGGGGACCCACAGGTTGAGAACCACTGCCCTAAAGGCTATAATTTGTATTAGATTAAGATTTCACAACCTCTGAGGATGCCTGCCATAGATGTGGATGAAACATCAGGAGAGAAGGTTTCTGGAACATGGCTATACAACAGAGCCCCCGGTGGCGAAATGGGCTAAACCCTTGTGTCGGCCGAACTGCTGATCAAAAGGTTAGCGGTTCAAATCCGAGCAGCGGGGTGAGCTCCCATATGTCAGCTCCAGCTTCTCATGCGGAGACATGAGAGAAGGCTCCCACCGGATAGTAAAACATCCAGGATTCCTCTGAGCAGTATTCTTGCAGATGGCCAATTCTCTAACACCAGACACAACTTGCAGTTTCTTAAATTGCTCCTGACACGAAAAAAAAAAACATGGCCATACACCCTGGAAAACTCACAGCAAGTCAGTGATTCCAGCCATGAAAGCCTTCGACAACACATATATTAAAAATGCTTTATTCTATATCAGAATGACATCCATGTTGGAATGACACCAACATTACCTAGCTGGGAAATGATAACTGAACAGGGCTGAATGAACTAGATTAGGGCTTCTTATAAACCCAGGTATATAGGTAAATAAATAGGTATAAAAATCAAACATTTACTGAAAAGAAACCAGCATTTGCAAGGCTACCTAAACAGGATGGTTTTTCTTTTTGTGGAGTATGGCAGAAACATTTTCAGAGAGTCCACTGAAGACAGCACACGCTGTTGCTAACAGATTTGTGTAAATGGATGGTGTTCAGAAACCTTTTATTGTTGCCACAAATTTTGGAATCCCAACATTTGAGCTAAGGGGACCCCATTTGGAGCCACAGTAAAAAGCAGCAAAGGAAGCCTATTACCATGAGAAGTATTACCTCATATTCATTTTTGATCAATGGAAAGGCTGCTCCAACCTGTGGCTGGGATCTTCTGTCGTAGACATAACGCACAATGGCTACCATATCCAACTCATCCAAAGCATGGATGAGGGAAGAAAGAGCAACTGCTGCAGCCTGTCAAAGGATATGCACAAGTATACAGAAATAACACTAATGGATATCAATAACAGCATTCATAGGATCAAAAAGCATTTTGAGTCTCTTTTTACCTCTTCAAAAGCAAAAGGAAATGCTGACAACAGTACAACCAGGTCACAACATCAAGAGAGGTGTCCAAGCAGGGCACTACCTTTAGACCATATAGGGCATCACCACTTCAAAACTAGAAAAGCTATAGATATAAAGCTAAAGAACAACTAAAATGTGCAGTATTCTTTTTCTTGTCATGTTAAAAAAGAGTGAGCAAGTCCCATGGATCCAGGGAGTATTTTTCAGGTTTGGGCAAGAACACCAGGGCTGCACATCCGAAAACGAAGACCTTGAGGAAAGCGGAGGAGTTTAATGGACATTTCAAAAATAAAATACTATCTATCAACACATATAGAAATCTAGCTATCTATATTAAAATGCTACTTTTTATTTAAAAGATCATCCTTCCATTCATATTTTACTTTAATTGTATTTTAAATTTCATCGATACAATTTTCCTTTGTCATTATTAAGATTAACGTCAAAGGCTGTGACCAAGGAGCTGCTCTACAAGCATTCTCCAGAAGCACACTCCTCCGTTGATGTAACAGGGAGTTAATTCTCCTTGGAGAAGTAACACCAGAAAAGTCTCTGGGACTTCCCATAGTTTTTTTTTTACACAAAGTGCTAGTGTCTGCTGCACAACAAGACAATGGAGGAAGCTCTACTGTCTACTATCTCCACTGTTGTGTCACTTCAGGGCTTTTTGAATACGGGTGGGAAAATGGGGGTTAAGGCCAAGGGTGGCTGGCCTCCTAAGATGGCACTGGTGCTTTTCCTTGACACTGAATGATCATCGAATTCCACAATCCCAGTCAATTCTTGATACCATGGATAATTGCAAACACTATATATATTGACTATTCCTGAGCCAGAAGAGCATACTATAGAATAATGGTTCCCAACCTGTGGTCCATGGACCACCAGTGGTCCCCAAGACCTAAAATATATCCCGTGGCCTCATGGTTACTACACCATTTCAACAAGAGTGACTGGTCTCATGAAACCATCTTATAGTGTTGAGGCAACAGGGATATCAGGAGGGGAGAGGCTGACTACCCACAAAAGGCCCCACAACAAGCCTCGACTGTTGCTTCTCCTCCTCCTCTCTCCCCCGGAGCAGAGCCTTGGTGTCTTTGTTTTTAGGCC